GACGACGTATTAACGTTATCAGTCTCAGAAGTTAATTTTGTTAAACCCACGAACATTACAATATCTTTACAACCTTTTATGGCAACCGCACACCAGGAGAACTATTGACTAAAGGTCGTCAGGGCCGGATTAAAGTTTAAATGAAATTGTGTATTTCAGACAGATCTTGAAATAAAAATTTTAACAAATAAAATAAAAAAGTGAAGAAATATTGAAATAATGAATTCATCTGCACGTAATGGCCTCGTTTTGTAGGAGGGTCTTAGGGGGTCAATCTTGACGTTACGTAACTATTTTAGAACTTATTTATAATTGAATTGTTGTTGAAAATTAAAAAAATCCTATTTATTTGAAGCCTAAAACTGATAGAATGCTATATAACGGAGTAGTGAGAAGGGCAGGTCGGTGCACGCGTTAAGGTTCCATAATGTAAGGGAGGGGCGAGACTAATGATCAATGAATTTCGCATTACAGGTGACAAATTTTAGTTTTACGAAAATATTAATTTTTACATATTTACAGGACCAGGGCACACAAAAAAGATATTTATCGCCATGCCTCGTATGCAGAGTGGGCATCCTGCAACTATCGGAACTGTTACTGACAAAACCACCGCCGATGGCAATCCTATTGTTAAACCCTATCCTTCTTGGGATTGGCACAAAAATCTTAAAGACTGCCCACCTGACAGAATCGTATCGGTATTTAGAATGATGGTAAGAAAGCCTTAAGAAAAGGCGCATATGTAATAGAAATACATAGTACCAACATAAAATATAATATATTTATCGTATAGTAGTGGTGTAACTGATCATAGTAAATGTGAAAATTATTATAATCTCATTTTGCTCATTATTGCTGCACGTTATAGTGGATGTACGAAAGTCTTTTGTAACATATTCGATAGGTATTATTATTGAGACAGGCAAAAACTAGAGGAAAAACTACGAAATACAAAGAAATACACCCAATCGATAAACTGGAATACACGAACGAGGGACACAAACGCAGAAACGAACTTGAGATGTATGCAAGATTAGTATTGGTTACCAGAAAAGGAAAGACTATGCAGGATGTGTAAGAAAAAGGAGGAAACACTAGAACATGTCCTAGAAAAATGTGAGCACACGGGAAAAGAGCAAGAAAGTTGGACACCAGGTCACGGGCCCAGAAGCTCATGCAAGAATTTGGAATATTGTATGGACAAAGAAAAAGAAAGAAAAGGAAAGGGAAAAAAAAACGAAGAGCACGATATTGACACATAGAAAAGAGAAGAGAGAAGAAGAAACAACCCGAGCACGAGCACAAACACGAACACGAAAACGAACACAAACACACACATCTAATGGAAATAAGAACATTTTTTTTAATTAAGCTATTATCTAACTATCTATCTATCTATCATATTCGATATTATTTTCTACTTTAAGTCTTGCGCTGAAGATGCTCATCATTATCATCATCATCATAACTTCGTCAGTCCTCCTTCACTCTTTCCTATTCTGAGCTAATCTTCGCATTTCCCGAAAACTAGAACAACCCACATTCTTAACTATCTGTGAACAGTAATCTAACCTACCTCTATTCCTCTTAACGCGTTATTCTGCTTCTAATCTGTCTCTGACCAGCTCATCGTACTTGAGAAAGTGTCCTACCAACCTATCTCGATTATTTCTCATCGACATGGGTGGAGTCCTCTGGACTTATCTGTATTCCTAGATACCGAAAGTCACCTACTTCTCAGTTTTTGCCTTATACCGTTATATTCGCCTTTTACCTAGTTTTTCATCCCTTGTATACCAATTTTCTTGTACTTTTGTTTATTTTCATACGATACTGTTTTCTCAATACCGCTCATTTTATTCAAGGCTGTCTCTAACTCCTCCTTGCTAGATGCTAATACTGCTAAATCACCTGCAAATCTAAGCATACTAATCTTTTGCCCCTGTACTTCTATCTGCACAGTTGCCTTGTCCATAATGATGTTGATCGCGTCTTGGATGTACAGATTAGAAAGTAGGAATGACATTGTGAGCACTTGTTTGACTCCCTTCGTAATATTTACTTCTCTTCGTTGCTGTTCAAGTTCTATAGGTGTCTGTTGTCAATGGCTTTTTCCAAATGTACGGATACCTTCATAAATTTAAAAATATTCGTCTAAATACATAACTGGTCGTATATGGTCTAAATTAGCACATCGTAATTCGCTATAATGGGAAATGATTATTTAATAGATTGTAAATCAAGCACAATGTGGCAATATATCATTAAATATAAATGCAATAAAAAACAACTGATATTTTGTTATTGTTTTAGGTTGACGAATGCGGTAGGCTATGGCTACTTGATACAGGAAGTAGAAGCAACGGCACAATTTGCCCACCACAAATATTGGCATTTGATTTGAAAACTGTAAGTACAACATTTACTTTGCACCGATATAACTTTTTTCAGTTCTTCTAATATTTACTAGTATTTAGTCAATTGATATGCAGATCAATAACTTAGTTCACCATTACAGCGTTAGTCATTGGAATGGGCCAGTATGTTCTCTAGAACAGTGTTGTTACAATGATTTTTTTTCTTAATAAATACAAAACCTTCAACCTAAATAAGTAAAACATTACACTTTCAAATTGCAATTTTCCAAAATCCAGATGGTAGTCATTTACCATGAAACCAAATGTTTACGTAATCTAATCTTCAACCTAAATAAGTAAAACATTACACTTTCAAATTGCAATTATCCAAAATCCAGATGATAGTCATTTACCAAAAATATTTACATAATCTACATTTTTTCTTTTTTTTGTGTTCTTAACACATTGACATTTTTAATTTTGCATAGTGGTTAATATGAAACACTAATGTGAAAATTCATTTTCAATTTCTTTATCCACTACAAACTACTTCAGGTTAATGAGGGAAAATTTGTTGGTACTGACACAATTTTCGCCGGGAATCGAACCCGGGACCTTTCGCTTTACGCGCACTTAGCTACGAGAGAAGACAACAGGGTGCGACAAATTTTCCCTCATTGACGTAGTTTGTAGTGGATAAAGAAATTGAAAATGAACATTCACATTAGTGTTTCATAACACATGTTGAAGTATAATTTACATAGTGTTGCATGCTATCAGCCAAGAACAAATTTGATTAATTAATTATTTTTTTTCGTAATAGGCGTTTATGTAGGTATTCGGTGTAGGTAGTAGTAAATTATTTGTTCATCTTTTTGTTCGAAAATCAGCTAAAGCACATCAAAGTGAAGCAGAATTTTTATCTAAAAGTTCGCTATTTGGTATACACCTACGTAGCCAATTCATATGCACGACCGGCTTTAATTGTCGTGGTTTTTTTCTGTTGCACCCTGTATACATACATATAAATTTTAATCAACTAATTATTGATTGTAACACACTGCAAATATTACAGTATAATTTTCAATCAAATTTTTTAGTCACAAATAATGCTTATGGGAGATTGTTTTGTAAAAAACCTTCTGCCTAAGAAACACTTCAATGCAAGTTTTAATGTAGTGCATTCAAATATTTTTAAAATTGATGAATATATGAAATAAAAAACCTCAAGATTATGTTACGAACTTAACAAACAAATTTGAGGTGGTCAGTATTCTGTCGAAACTGTCAGACGAGGATCGCGATTTCGATCTTTTTGGATCTCATCCGCGCGTCGCAGAGAGTTTCGACAGAACACAGACCAATTTTTACCTGCTGTCTTAACAACGCGTTTTATAAAATACCACACATGGCGCGGTAAATAAATAAAAAAATTATCGTATTTTTTTTTAGGATACACTGTTATATAGATACGAAATACCCTCCAGTCAGTATGAGTACAGATCAAACTTCGTAACTCCAGTTGTAGATGTGCGAGATAAACAATGTAAGGATACCATGGTATATGTCGCAGATAACCGAGGATATTCCATCATTGTCTACAATCCGTCGTTGGGAGTTTCATGGAGAGTAGGTGACAAGACAATGTACCCTTACCCTAGCTCTGGAACCTATGAAATTCAAGGTAAGAACACCGCCACCCTTCTTGAGTACCAACTCAGATTTCTGTATGCATAAATTGAGGTATTTACTTCCACTACTGATCATCATCATATCGTCGTCATAAGACTGTTTGGACACGCACTTCCAATCTTTCCTATCCTGAGCTAATCTTCGCATTTCCCTAAAACTAGAACTATTACTAACTACTAACTATTTGCGAACAGTAATCTAATCTACGTCAACCTCTACTCTTCTTAACCACTGTTTCTGTCTCTGACTAGCCCCTCATACATCTCGCCTATTTTTTATTGACTTCCACGGAGTCCTTTGTTCTCTTATTCTTTCTAAAGCCTCTGCATTTTTAACCTTCTCAATCCACGGTATCCTCATCATTCACCTGTAATACATTTCGAACGCTTCTAACTTTTTCTTTTCTGCCATGTCCACATTTCGCACCCGTACAGCACCTTGCTTCGGACATACACTTTTAAGAATCTTTTTCGAATTTACAAATTAACCGTTCGCGAGCATAGATGTGACTTCTTTTTATTGAAGGCGATTCGACCCTGCGCTATCTTCTGCTTTATATCCCTACTACTCCTTCCGTCCTGACTTATCTGACTTTCTAGATACCTAAAATCAGCCACTTCTTCTAGTGGTTTGTCTCCTATCTTTATATTGCCTTGCATACCTGTATACTTTTACTTACCAAAATCATAAAGAGTAATACTTTTTTTCTTATTATCATTGAACGAAATAAAATTTTCGTTTAGATTTTTCTCTCAGGCTTTCTTACCCTTCCTTACCTTTGATTGCTATAAAAGAATAATAAAAAGCAAAAACTTGCAAACATTTTTTCAGGAACTAGCTTCGAGTTAATGGACGGAATATTGGGCATGGCTATTTCACCTTATAAACCCGGAAAAGATCGAATACTCTATTATCGTGCATTGTCCAGTGTCACAGAGAACTTTGTTTACACGTCGCATCTTAGAAATCGTACCAGGTTTGAGAACAATCCTCAATCATCCCCAGAAATATTCCATGTAAGTTTTTCCATAAATGGGCAAGTATCTGCGCGACCACTCGTCCGACCTGTACTTCTGAGTAAAGCTTCTTTGGATTAGACGTTTTAGTATAAAAAAAATTATGATTAACAAATGTGGTAACGCAATTTCTACTTCAGACATACAAAAGAACAAGACCATCTCAAAGTGCAGCCGAAGCCATCGACAAAGACGGAATTTCATATTTTGGTTTAGCGCACGAAATAACATTAAATTGTTGGAATACTGCTACTGAATATGGCTTCCAAAATATAGATACACTTTCTTATAACCCGACGACACTTCAATTCATCAGTGGAATTAAAGTAAGTTTTACACAAACCATATTATACCAAATTCAAAATGATTTTAATCGATAAAAATGATTATTACGCACTTTGACCCCAGTTATTGGGGCCTACGGCCTGTCAACCCAACAGTTTTAATAAAAAAAATATCTATTTTCTAATGTAAACCATGCTATAGAAATTCCATGTTAAAATAATTTAAACAGTGTCAAGTAAACGGCAGTATGTCGCTGGGCATAAATTTTTACTGTAAGCTACAGCATATCGTGTATTTAACAAGATTAGTTGGATTACATAAGGGTATTTGGGGCAGTGCTCCACAAAGTAAGTGTTTACCGCGTACGTTTCGCACCCGTTTAGACCCGTGCTCCAAGCATATACCTTCAACAATCTTTTTAGAATTTCGAATATAGCCAATCGTGAGCATAGAAGTTACTCCTTTTAGATAAAGGCGAACTCTACCTTGTGTTGTATCCTCTGTTTCACATCCCTATTGCTCCTTCCATTCTGTTTGATTTCCTATATATCAAAAATCAGCTACTTCTTCTAATTTTTCATCTCCTATCTTTATATTCACTCTTTCCATACTTTTTCTTCCCCTGCATATCAGTATTTGAAGTAAGTGAAACTTCTTTACACACGGTAGGGTAATTTCGTTTCATGCGAGTTGCTATGTAACGAAATCATGCAACGGATGTCCCCCCTCTACTCGGCCACGTAGTCGAGTTCGTAGTGGGGATCGCTTGAGCAGTGAGCGCGCTTCAATGTAACGTTCGTAACAGGCAACCCGGCATGTATAGTGTACAAATAATACAATTGTTCATTGTACAAATATCTCTCGGCACCTATAATACGATATTTCTGATGCGATATTCCGACGAAGCTATGTGATACGAAATGCTATATATCGATATTTTGTATTAAATTATTTTGGAATCGCAATTTTACTTCACCGTTATAATAATATACGAATGTCCAAATTTCCGACTTTAGGAGATACCTTTCGAAACATGTGCTCAAAATAAAAATCATTCGTATATGTTGCCATTCAGGCAGGTAAAAGGTAAAAAAAGATATTGCATCAATCAGGAATGATCTTAATATATACATAGGTAGGTACATGTGTATATTATTTAGTTGAGAAGAAACGCAAAACTAATATTAATAGCTACTAAAATTTTGGGAGGGGGTAGCTAGAGTCCCCACGAGGTTAGTCACACTTCCTAGGTTGCCTGTATGACTCACAAAAGGCATATAACACCTTGCCTCATTCGCGTATTGTCTCCTTAAAGAAAAATGACCGCTACCCGCTCTGAAAACCTTATGACAATCAATATCATTAAGTAATAATTATCACATATGTCTCACAATTTTATCTACAAAGACTTCTCATATTTCAATCAAGCCCACATAAGACGATTTCAGGACAAAATGCACCCTGGCAAAATTGACTCNTATTTTCTAATCTAAACCATGCTATACAAATTCCATGTTAAAATAATTTAAATACAGTACAAAACAGACACTGTTCAGCGGGGAACTCAGCGATGAGGTGGTGAAGTGTCGGTGGGAGGAATATTTTAGTACAGATCTGAATAGTTATTCTATTGTATACTGTTTTACTGTCTAGAATATATTATTTATGTCGTATTACAAAAGCGAAACCCGCACCTACAATTGAGACGACACTATATAGGAGGGTAAAGTTCTCTGTTTGACAATGGAAAACTGCGATTGTCAGTTAAAACTGATCTTATTTTTCTACATAATCTCCTTAGTCTTCAACACACTTGATCTCGCGTTTCACCAGCAGCATTCCTGCTCGGAAGTGGGAATCTGGAATGCTGTTATCGCGAATTTTGGTATCCAGCTGGTCAAGAAGGTTAGAGTAACATTGGCCTGTATTTTTCTGCCTTTTTTAAAGTTATCGATTAGCAGGATTCCTTTCGCATTTCAAAACATGCTGGCATTACCTTTCCAGCATTTGTGATCAACTTGACTTTCTTTAGTGCTGGATCACCGGCATCCACCTACTACTTGGACTGCTGTTTCATTTCTAGTGTGTAGTGGTGGAATCATGTCTATTGAATAAATTCAAACATCGTTGCTAATATCGTTTGTGCATTGAGCAAATGCGGCACCCACGCTCCATTCGCATTCCTAATTTTTTTTGCCAGATGTTTCGCACTCTTTCTTCCAATATTCCCACAGCCTGTCATATCTCACTCACCTTCGCAACTGTGAAAATATTCATCTACGACACTCTCAACTCCCTTATTGAACATAAAATGCTTCCCAAAAACAAATTTCCTCAAGTTTGGGAACAGATAGACCCAAATTAGGAGAATAGGAGGAATACATAATCCTCTTCTTATTCTTGCCAGGCCTCTTTACTGTAAAAATTCATGTAAACGAACAACTTCAGAGAATAAGTTGAAACTTGTTATATGAACTAATGGCACGTACCCCCAGGTAGTAAACATAACACGTACACTCAGGCCGAGAAATTTTCACCTTACCTTCATAAATAATAAGTCTCAATTTTTGTTGTTGTTGAATGTTTTAATTGTTCATTGTACAAATATCTCTCGGCACCTATAATACGATATTTCTGATGCGATATTCCGACGAAGCTATGTGATACGAAATGCTATATATCGATATTTTGTATTAAATTATTTTGGAATCGCAATTTTACTTCACCGTTATAATAATATACGAATGTCCAAATTTCCGACTTTAGGAGATACCTTTCGAAACATGTGCTCAAAATAAAAATCATTCGTATATGTTGCCATTCAGGCAGGTAAAAGGTAAAAAAAGATATTGCATCAATCAGGAATGATCTTAATATATACATAGGTAGGTACATGTGTATATTATTTAGTTGAGAAGAAACGCAAAACTAATATTAATAGCTACTAAAATTTTGGGAGGGGGTAGCTAGAGTCCCCACGAGGTTAGTCACACTTCCTAGGTTGCCTGTATGACTCACAAAAGGCATATAACACCTTGCCTCATTCGCGTATTGTCTCCTTAAAGAAAAATGACCGCTACCCGCTCTGAAAACCTTATGACAATCAATATCATTAAGTAATAATTATCACATATGTCTCACAATTTTATCTACAAAGACTTCTCATATTTCAATCAAGCCCACATAAGACGATTTCAGGACAAAATGCACCCTGGCAAAATTGACTCTGACAAAAGATCAACCACGTCTGCTATTTGGTCATCTGAAATTATTGTCAGGTAGGACCAAATCGACCCTATTTTTACATTACATTCAAATACCTATCTACAGTCCATTTCAATTTGTTAGAATTGTGACCTTGAAGAAATCTGCGCGAAGATAGAAAGAATACACACTAGGCGTGAGCAAGACATAAATAGTTGGAACAAGTTTGAACGAGCAGAGTTCTCGATGGGCGGTCTTAGGAGATCGGCTAGAACTGTACAGTACTAGACGAAAATGTTTAGCAATTTCTTAAAACAAAAATGTATATAAATTAATAATAGAAAACAAAGCAAAAGTTTTATAAGGGTGTAGAACGTTAAGGTAATTCACTTGTTATTATTTTTGGCTAAATATGCTTTTAAATAAAACATATTCTTAAATTTTAACGAGGCAATTTAAATAATTTTGCAAATGGTACTGTACACTTTTGTCTAGTTCTCACTCGATGATCGGTGAAAAAATGAACTCCGCAGACAAATATGATTGAATTTGGAATTATGCTACGGCGCATCCTAATAAAGGGAAGGGGCATATCTCTAACTTCTTGAACTGTACACTTTTGTCTAGTTCTCACTCGATGATCGGTGAAAAAATGAACTCCGCAGACAAATATGATTGAATTAGGAATTATGCTACGGCGCATCCTAATAAAGGGAAGGGGCATATCTCTAACTTCTTGAAACGTACAGTACTTTATATGGACTCACTTTTATTCAAATACACCCAATCCATGTAGATAACGGTAGTGATTTGATGGAGACGAGCGTCATACCAGTAATGTATGTACTTTTGGGAAATAAGAAAGGAACAACATGTTGTAAATTATTTTATACAAACTTTCCAATTGGAATCCAGAAGTTATCAAAATGGATTTCGAGAAGGCAGGAATTCTTTCTGTAAAAGACATGCTACCGACTACTAAAATTGTTTTCAACTTCAAGTGCGTAGAGATTTGCATACATAAACTAAACACAAACTCGACCAGGTAGTCGTGTACTAAATAAGGTTTATTTTTGTAAGGGTTTATTTTAACCCGATATCTATAAGACAGAAGGTGGCATCGTCCACTTTTTTGTAAGGTTATAAATGCGTTTAATTTACCTCATAAGATTGTGAAAAACTTATCATAAGATCCTTATAAAAAACTCATTATAAGACATATGCATCTTACTTCAATATCGCCGATTTCTTTTTGTGAGTCATAATGAGGAATCTACCTCACCTCATGAGATTCACACCCCACATAAGGCATGTTCTCTACAAATTCTAGTGGGACAAATCAACTATACAAATTAAGACTAACGTAATTTATATTTCTTTTTGTCAACAGGTCATTAACAATCCGTTAGGTTTTCAAGAACTGTGGTTCGTTTCAGACAGATTTCAAAAATTCTATACAGGTACACTGTCGCTGAACGAAACCAATTTCAGAATACAGACAACACGTGTTGACGACGTATTAAGAGGAAGTAAATGTAAATTGTCTAGACCATTTCAGGGAATTGACGGTTTGAATAAGCTNAACTGTTGTCAGCATAAAGCGGCACTGGTTTAATAATGAGTATATAGAAAACTCAAAGGTAGTAGACTGACTTTTAAAGTTCCTTGATACTGTAGCGAGCACGAGTGTGTTTGTGTGTGATTGAGCACACGTGTGAGTGAACGGTTTATCGATCCGCCGACTAGCCGCAGGCGCCTTTCTTCATGTGCGCCGTATTTGTAAATGCGTGTGTCGTACCTGCGTTTCGGGAAAGCAGTTAAACAGTTCAAAGAAAAAATAAACTATCCGGATGTTTCTAGAAGGGTTCCGAAAGTAAACAAAATAGTATTTAAAGGAAGAGATGATCGCCGAGAGAATTAGAAATAAATTGACCGTTGCAGAAGTGAATCCAGAAATAAATTGACAGTTATAGAAGTGAAATAAATAGCGCAGTGAATAGTGATATATGAACAGTAGTATAAATAAATAGAATAATTCTTAACCTAAGTTTAGTAATAATTTGATAGTGTTTTTAAGTTCTTTAATAATTTTTGTAAATAAATAGTTTTTGTCGTTATCAGTCTTAGAAGTTAATTTTGTTAAACCCACAAAAATTACAGTATTTACCTTAAACAAGCTACCTACCGAAGTCACAATGAGAGCAAAAATCTTCGACCCTTTAGACCTACTGGGTCCACTCATGTTAGTTGGTCGATTAGTTCTTCAGGAATGCTGGCGACAGCACGTAACATGGGAGCAACCACTGCCAGCTATTATCTTATCGATGTGGCACTCATTCGCGATAGAATTTAACATCAGTAACATTACATACCGCCGTCTTGTGATCCTTCCTGAAGTTTTAGATGTTCAATTACATGGTTTCGCAGATGCGAGCGAACGAACCTAGGGAGCCTGCATCTACATCAGATGCATTAGTTACATCTACTACAACTATTCACATCAACTAATTATGTGCAAGAACAAAGATTGCTCCACTNGGACAAATCGTACTACAAAAATGGTATCGAAAAGTTGGAGGATCGCTATAATCAGTGTATCACCCTTGAAGGGAATTATGTTGAATAAAAAAAACGAATTTTGCAAAAAAAATGTGTTTTACTATTTTAGGCCGGGGACTTTTCAATTGACCTGTTATGATGGTATCTCAAGAAAATCAATAAATTGTAAGATCAGTTGTACATGTAAAACTTCTTGCAAAATAAATTAAAATAAAATAACAACCGCAAAAATCATTTAGTACCTGCTTTACATCCGTAGCCAACTAGGAATCCTTACATTTACTCATAATGTTTTTCGCAACAGACCTTGGTTTTACGCACCAATACTCTGACCAGCAAGCTACAAGAGATAACGTAAAGCCAAAGTACCCGAGTTCGATTCCCGGCGGGGGTGTGACAACAGCAACAAAAATATTTTTCCTCATTAATCTATGGAAGTTTGTAGTGGATAAAAAATCGAAAAATGATTTCAAATTAATATAGCGTTCGAAATGTGGTGTTACAGGAGAATGATACCGTGGATAGAGAAGGTTAGAAATGAAGAGGTATTAGGAAGAATAGGAGAACAGAGGCAATTATTTACTACTTCCCTTTTNTGGTATCTCAAGAAAATCAATAAATTGTAAGATCAGTTGTATATGTAAAACTTCTTGCAAAATAAATTAAAATAAAATAACAACCGCAAAAATCATTTAGTACCCGCTTTACATCCGTAGCCAACTAGGAATCCTTACATTTACTCATTATGTTTTTCGCAACAGACTCAATCGCACCCAGGACGTTTGGTTTTACGCACCAATGCTCTGACCAGCAAGCTACAAGAGATAACGTAAAGCCAAAGGTCCCGGGTTCGATTCCCGGCGGGGGTGTGACAACAGTTTGTAGTGGATAAAAAAACGAAAAAAAATTTCAAATTAATATAGCGTTTGAAATGTGCTGAGAATGATGAGGATACCGTGGATTTAGAAGGTTAGAAATGAAGAGGTATTAGAAAGAATAGGAGAACAGAGGCAATTATTTACTACTTCCCTTTTTGCCTTGCCAACTAGAAATCCATACATTTACACAGTGTGTATTTCGCTACATAGAATTTTCGAAATGTCAATGTACGGATTGGAATTTTAGGAAATTTTCCTATAGGTCGTCTTTTTATTAACAGAAACGTACATTCTGACAAATACATTAACCTTTTGAGAGAGGATTTTATTTCAGTGCTTTAAAGATTTGCATAATACCAATTTTAGTGAAGTTTGGTATCAACAAGGCGATTTTCCCGCTCATAATGCGATAGCGGTTCGTAAGTTTACATTTCCCAGTCGTATTATGAACGAAAGGGATTCAATATTAAATGACCTGCTATATCTCCTAATTATTTCCCAAACGATTATTTCTGTATATGTAGTCGGTAAAATTAATTCAAAAAATCAATTCACTAATAGATTGNTTTTTTTTTCTTTACAAACTTGGCTTACAACAGCAAAGGAAAAAGACTTATGCGTTCTATGATCCCACCACTTCTACTATTTACCCCTGCCATTACTGCGTTCACTCTTTGCTCCAACTCAATACAGCGTTGAGGCGCTCATTTTCATAGCAACGCCATCCCCTGGTTCTATTTAGAATTTCTTACTCACGTTTGAGTCCTCCATTTGAATTGGACTTCTATACTAGTCTCTCTTCTCTGCCACAAGTGTGCTGCAAATGTCTAGTAATTGTAAATAGTCTCGTTTACAGAGGTCTAGAAGTGAAAAATGACTCTTTCTAAGAGACGTACTCACACGGTCACTCATAGAGGTTTTCGGGGCTGAAAATGACGGGACCTGACTATTATCCAGGTTCGACTGTATTAAATTCTCTTGTAAAAGGATTTTAACTTAAACGTTTATGTATTTAATATCTAGCTATAAAGAGAAAAAGCTCAAATTTGATAAGAGTATTGTATAAAATAAAATCAGAACTTTTTTAAAACATGAAACGAGATTTTATACGTACACTATTTTTTCGCGATAATTTCTTTTTATCTCTCGCTTGTCCTTAAAATTTATTATTACGTTTTATTACGTAGTATGAAGTAAATACTTAAATACTCGATACAAAATTCGGATCTTGTTTAAAGTATTACTTGTTGACCTTGTTACATACTCGCGTTACAATTCCTTTTTGTGGTGTGATAATCTCTCATCGTCAATTAAAAGTGTCATATAATTCATTTTCATTTATTAGTTGTTAAAATTAACAGAGATTAACGGTTATCAGTTTGAATGTTTACTTTAATTTAAGTAGTGTTAGTTATTATTACCAATTATTTGCTCGATTAAAATTCCCGTGATTGATGAAGTTTCAACTTTATTTATTGCTTTCTTTCGTTCAGAAAGACATTCCATTAGTTTTAGAAAATACCACAAATGGCGCTGTAAACGCCATCTGTAGTACGATGCTACATTTTTATGATTACGTATGCTCCAACAAGGTCCATTTGTATGGAAATCTACTTGCTGAAACGAATCCCGACGTAGCTAACTTCAACATGACAGGCATGTTACCATAATCGAATAAAATAATTCGAAGTGGTCTATATAGGCGTTTACCGCGCCATTTGTGGTATTTTCTAAAACGCACTGTTAATACAGCTGGTAAAAGTTTGTCTGGGTTCTATCGGAGCTGTCTGCGACGCGTTGATGAGATCCAATAAGATCGAAATCGCGATCTGCGTCTGGCAGTTTCGACAGAATACAGACCACTTCGAATTATTTTATTCCATTAGTTGTCCAAACTAATGGAATATACGTTTCGGAGTCATGTCAGAACAGCTAATACTTTGAATAAAGGAATAAAGTAGAGATGTGCCGAGTGCCGGATTTTAGGTGGGCATCTAGAGGGGGCGTTATTGGGTTAACCCCCCCCTCCCAAATTAAAAACTAAGCAGGAAGTGATAATACCATAATAGAAACAAGTGGCAGTAAAGGATCTACTTAAAGATGAGATAATTACTATAATAAGTCGTAAAATTTATTTTTAGAAATATGTAGACGGTAGTGACAGCAAGGAATGGTATTTTTATAAGATGCAACATCAACTTGAAATCATTTTTCGATTTTGAAGCACTACGAATTTCCTCAAATTAATGAGGAAAATAATTTTGTTGCTGCTGTCAACTCCCCGCCGGGAATCGAACCCGGGATCTTTGGCTTTACCCACCAATGTTCTGACCAACTAAGCTGCGAGAGATGACAAATAAATTTGTAGTGATTTCAAGTTGATGTTGCATATTAACATTGACCACTATTAATAATTAATAAAACAATGTCTTAAATTTTATAAGAAATATGGTCTATGGTAAAGCAAGCATGCCTTTTTGGACGATCGAAAATAATGGGGGAATAGTTTGACCAGTCTGTGAATAAAAAAAATGGTTAATTATCATTTTGTCCCAATTGAGAAGTTTTAGGACTTTCCAGCCGATGAACATGCTTGCTAAATTACTTACCCCAAAAATATTCACATCCTGGCCAACGGCGGTAAAAAGTTGTATTCGCAACAGGAGAGGAAACAAACATGCGGTCCTCAGTATTCTCTACTTTTTCTGCCCAGGAGAAAATCTGGCTACGTCCCTGACCCTGCAAACAATATAAAAATGAATTCGAATTCATACATTCCACATTTTAAAAACGCTGTTGTAGCGCTAAAGTTTCGAGTGCATGAAAAATTATTGCTTTATCATTTCGCGAGTGGATTGTCATCTGTAATTCAAAATGATTAGATCAGCCAAGACTATTGTTTGTAAGTACATACGCTTATTATATTTCAGCTTACTTTTTTTTATTTTATGATAATGATGGTTTTTATACTATTTTCAGTTCAGTTCGTAATTACACAAAAGTAGTTAAATTGTTACAAATATAATAATGTCAATTACTAAACATCGTTTTGCTTACTTATTAATTTAAAATGCGCTAAAATAATACAGCAAAATATAAAATATAAGTTTCATGATTTCAAATTGACAAAACAGTACTGTTCAAAAATACATAAAAGTAAAACAAAAATACTGGTATGCAAGGAAAGAAAAAAAAGTAGGAAAAGACCGAATGTAAAGATAGGAGAAGATAGATTAGAAGAAGTACCTGATTTTAGGTATATATTAGGATGTCAGATAAGTCAGGACGGAAGGAGTAGTAGGAATATAAAGCAGAGGATAGCGCAGGGTCGAGTTATCATCAATAAAAAGGAGTAACTTCTAGGCTCACGAACCGTTAATTTAGAAATTCGAAAAAGATTGTTAAAAGTGTATGTTTAGAGTGCGACACTGTACGCGTGAGAAACATGGACGGTGGACGCGGTGGAAAAGAAAAGCTTGGAAGCGTTCGAAATGTGGCGTTATAGGCGAATGATGAGGATACCGTTAGAAATAAAGACGTTTTAGAAAGACTAGAAGAACAGAGGACATGGGAGTCAATAAACAATAGGCGAGATAGGTTGGTAGCACACCTTCTCAGGAATGAAGGTCTAGTCAGAGTAATATTAGAGGCAGAAATAGGAGTTAAGAGGAGTAGAGGTAGACCTAGATTAGATTACTGTTCACAAATAGTTAAGGACGTGGGATGTTCTAGTTTTAAGGAAATGCGAAGATTAGCTCAGGATAAGAAGGAGTGGAGGTGCGTGTCCAACTAGTCTTAGGAGTGACGACCTCATGATGATGTTGACTTCAAATTAATTAATAATATAACAGATGTCGAGGAACCGAAAATTCCCAATACTTTCGATAATAATTGAAATAATATTTGAAGTGAAATAAATTTGAATGAAAAAGAATGCCTAAGAAATAATATTTACTAAAATATATACATTTCTCCGCCACACTGCATACGTATTTATTTCTCAAGAAAATAATTTATATAAGTGTGTATGTTTTTAATTTCAGGGTCCAAATGGCTGTGTATAATGTTGGGTATATGTTCATCTACCTGGAAACTTTCAGGAAGTGTTCCAAGTCGCTCTGCAGAAGGAATAAGTGAAATTTTTAGTTGGACTCAGTTAGAATTCGATTATCCTTCCGAAAATGCAAGACAACAGGACATCGACAATGGAATTTTCGTACCGGGACGTGCCGCGCCTCTTGACGTAGATGTCTATTATGGATGTAAGCGCACTCATTTCTTAAAGTTAAATTTTTAACGCTATAGATTAATTAAGTATTGATGATGTTCTTTCACACACTATTATCATTACTTCTATTTTTTAATGTCTATCTTAAAGTGGAGGTTGAAGCAATAATGCTGAAGAAATTTATTAGCTTCTTTGGTCGAATGACTGACATCAGCACTCATAAAGAGAACGATCCGAACCTTTAGTGAGAATATTAAGGGACAATGAATAATTTTTATTGTGTCTATCTTACAGCTTTGAAAACACGGTTGTAAAAGTTTTCTAACTAGATTCATACGTGCAAGTGGTTGACAACTACCAAACGAGTTTTGGTTTAATGGCGCCAAAGTAGGCAAAGACACAGGCGATTACCTGGTCACACTTTTACTACTTCAGCCGTCATTTCAAGAAAGACAGATTGTAGTTAACAGTATCTATTAAGATTGATTAGTTAAACTATGACGCTAATAAAATGGAAGGAAAGCATTAACAGTTAATTAGGCAGACAGAAACAGGAATAACTGGATGCAGATAAAGACCTAGATAAGACTACTGGTTGCAAATAGTTAAGAACATGGAATTATCTAATTTTCGGGAAATGAGAAGCTTGAATTGCTGTCAGGTTAGGAATTCAGGAATGGCGGGTCGGTGATGTTGACGGTTTATTCAGGTGAATGATTAATTCATAGCTTGTATGAATTTTTTCCTGATATTGTTAGTGGCTAGTGAGTAATAGAGACTTAGGTTTCCAAATACGAATTTAATAAATGGGAATAATCTGTTTATATAGGATTATCAAGGATATTATAGTTAATTGATGACTAGCGGTCATTTCCAGATTCGAACAAATGAACAAACAATTTTACATCACTTTCCCGTATGGTGGGAATTTGACAAATTTACTTTCAAATCAAACAATATGCATTTTACCCTTACATGAATAAAAAATCAATATAACAAAAATAAAATAGTAGTATCAGAGTAGTTCCTAAGTATTCGAATTTTCTTTTTTCCAAAAGAAACTACAAAAACCGAACAGATAATATTTTTTTCCTTGGACTTTTCATCACTTTTTAAGTCAATATTAGTTGACAACCACAACACTTAAGTGTCGTACCGTTGGATTTTTCCAATAAACCCGTTATCAATAGATCAATATCTCTAATATGGCTTCTACAAAATCAAAAAAAGGATTTAGAAGGTATTTGGGCGATTGTCAAAATATTGATTTCTAATCAGTGAATCAATCGAATAGCTTCGATAAATCAAGCAAAAGCATTTTAAAACTTGGATTAACACTTGTAAACATTGCTCGATTTAATATTGAAACAGCTCGCGTGTTTGTGAGCAGATAATGTAAGCGAAGGGAGTCTAAATAATCATCAAATACATTTATAAAGATCATGGAACAACTGGAATCCGTATTCCTGATAGTGAATCAAAAGATCGTCATATGAGACACTACAACTGCATTAAAAAACTTTCTAGAAGAATAATGAAGTTGAATGTGATGAAAGGACAAAGAAGCTTTTCTTTAGGCCACGAGTATTTTTCATAATTCGCACACTGAATAAAGACTTAATTCCAGAGAGGTTGTCCAGGAAAAGAAAATGATAGAAAACATTGATTTAACTGTTCCAATAAAATTGTGATAATATATTAATTAAATTATTAT